CAGATTGGTCCATTTCAGAATAATATATATGATATGTTTTATAATTATTGATCATGAAAGTGTTCTCAAAGCTGGTAAAGGTGCAGCTGGTTTGAATGACTGTATACTGCAGGGTAGCTTGTGGATTTACTCCAGGTGGAACTAAAGTCTGATTTAACACTTGATTATATTTTACATCATTCATCCACATCTGTAGTAACTAAAGGCATTAAATACATGTAGTGGAGTAGAAGTACACCATGTACCTCTGATCTGTAGAGGAGTAGAAGTACAAAGTAGCAAAACATTGAAATACTTAAATAAAGTACAAGTAGCTCAAAATTGTACCCAAGTATAGTACTTGAGTTTATGAACTTAGTTACTTTACACCAGTGGCTATAAAGATAGAAAGACTAAGCCTTGCACAGTGGCATGACAATAAATGTTTTTATATATTTATATTAGATTTCTGTTATTATTAACTGCTTTAGTTCTGACTGCTAAAATCTTGTTATTCCTCATTTTGAAGCCAATATTCCGTGGGGTCGGGGGGCTCGGATCCTTGTCACCTTTTTCATACCTGATGAGTTTGCATCCCTGATATATATTAACAGCTCATGTTTAGTTATTGTTCTTAGAAAGATGTTTATTTTGGAGGCTGCTGATTGTGATGCTGCTTTTCCTTTATATTTGCACAACCATCATTGTTACCACTCCAGACCACTAGATGGCAGTACCAGGAATGTCAGTTGCCCGCCACCAGCAGCAAACAAAGAAAGAGGAAGTTTTTGAAATGTGAGTTGAGGGGGTGGGGGTTGTAAATGTGGGACATGTGATTTTTGCATTTTCTCTAAATTATAAACGTGAATAGAACAACTTTTCAATACAGTATTATATATTCTCAATTTATCTAAACTTACCGGTTGATTGTTTCTCAATTGTTGGAGTAAAATTGGTACAACTAGTGATTTTTAGTTGTCTTTCAATGTTGAAATGCAGCATTGCATCATGGGATATACCCCTGTTATATCCAAGTTAAATGTAAAGATCTTTGTCATCTTACGCACAAAAGACAGTATTTTGTGTTAAATTACCCGTAGATAATCCTCCCCTTTTTTACATGTCTTTGTTTTTGGTAGTCTCTATAATTGCAGCACCTTTATTCAGTGTATCATGTGTGTGAATGAGCTGCCTGTCTCCGATGTGTACAACTCATACTTACCTGGCAAGGGAGATACCATGATCAAGAAGGTGGTTCACCCAGGGCGAGGCTTGGCCATTGCACACCGGTCGAGCTGACCTCTGCGAATTCCTCAAATGTGGGAATCTCGATTGCATAATTTGTGGTAGTGGGGGACTGCGTTCGCGCTCTCCCCTGATAACTTGTAAAATGAAAAAAATATTCTTAAAAGTCTGCAACCCATTTTGAGAATCAATGTAACTGTAAGAGGTTTGAAGTTGACGTGTCAGTGAAAGGCATTTTTTGGGAATCCAAATTTGAAAAAGTCTGCACTACTATTTAAAAGACTTAAGAGTGCAGTTATAGTGTTATTAATATTCACTCCCACATAGGCCTGTCACGATAATTTTTTTGGACGACAAATGTTCCCGGAAATGATTGCTATAAACAATAATATTGTCGGCACCGTTGTAAGACCATTTTAGACCACTGACATAATGATAATATATAATAATAATGGAAGTACATCCTTTCAAACAAAAGTTTTTTATTGAACATTCAACATTGCAAATGAAATGTGAAATAATATTCAATTATATAAATGATATACACTGAACAAAAATATAAATGCTTCACTTTTGTTTTTGCTCCCATTTTTCATGAGATGAACTCAAAGATCTAAAACATTTTCTATATACACAAAATAACCATTTATCTCAAATATTGTTCACAAATCTGAAAAAATCTGTGATAGTGAGCACTTCTCCTTTGCCGAGATAATCCATCCCTCCTCACAGGTGTGGCATATCAAGATGCTGATTAGACAGCATGATTATTGCACAGGTGTGCCTTAGGCTGGCCACAATAAAAGGCCACTCTAAAAATGTTCAGCTGACTCGCTGACAGGGCTTGAATCAGAGCTTGCACACTAAAAAATGCTGGGTTAAAAACAACCCCATTTGGGTCGTTTTTTTAACCCAACACCAGGATCAATATTGGACCAACCCAGCAGTAGTTAATTTGACCCAACGAAATGGGTTGTCAGGGTTTCCCACACATAGACTATACCTGGGCGGGCCGCCCAGGTATATTAACGGCCGCCCAAGTATATTTCGCGACCCATTTAGTTATTTATTTATAAAAAAAATTTTTAATGTTTTTTTTTTTTTTATTCCTCCGTGACCACGACGCCATCTGCGATCGATTAATTTGTAGACAATGATCCCTCGCTCCCTTGCTCTGATCTCGCCTCCTTCTGGCCTGTTAAGTGGCTGTCCACATGATGTGGCCTGCCGACATGGCCACTGTCATACAGATCATAAATCAAAGCCCTTGATTGGTCTCTGTGTGTCATTCAAGCTCGGGATAACCTCAGCTCAGGTGAGGTAAAGGACTCTCTGAGTGTTTAGATAGTTAACTTAGTCTAAGTTCTCAGTGGGTCTCAAACGGTGTGGTCACCATTTATGTAAACACATATTTCCATTTGAGAGGGTAGTGATTGGTCTAATGGAGTGAGGTGGGCTGAAGATCGGAAGGCTGTGAGTTCAAATCCCGCCAGGAACACCACCACTAGTGTGCCCTTGAGTAAGGCACTTAGCCCTTAGTTACTCCAGGGAGAATGTCCCTGTAATCGGTCATTATAAGTCGCTTTGGATAAAAGCGTCAGCTAAATGAAATGTAATGTGATTAGTAAAATATGCATGAATAAATAAATAAAAAGTTAACTAGGTGAAAAAAGGTAAGATACACTTTTAAAACTTGTTGAGAGAAAACTAGTCTTTGCTGCTGCCTCAAAGAGGAGGGGGGAGAGGAGGGAGACAGGAGAGGCTGATTCAGGAGCACAGACACACTCCCAACTATAAATTAATAAGTTTCAGTGTTTTTTTCATATTGGAAATGGGATGTTGTTGGTTATGGCCTTGATTTTATGATTATTGAAATGTATACAGTTCTGTTTAATATAGGTGTTTCCATAGATCTAGTCTCTTTATTTTCCCCTCAAAATGCACCAGATTGATGCATTTAACTCCAAAATAAAAAATAAAATCTTACCGGGGGGGCATGCCCCTGGACCCCCCTAGAGGATTTGAGGTCGACCCCCACTAAAAATCACATGGATAGGTTCCTAAATACATTAATAAATACATTAATTTTTTAAAATAGTAACCCATTTCCATATGTTCATGTGTGGGTAGTAGATTTAAACTATAGGGCTATCATTATGGACCCTGCCTGTACCTGTACCTGTTCGCTCTGCCATCGCGTGAAGGGTCTGCTAACAAGCGACCAACAGAAAGGTTAATGTTGTTGCACGTCACCTCAACCCCCCCCGCTACCACCACCCCCCAAAGTATATTTCAGATCTGTGGGAAACACTGGCAGTTAATGGACCAGCACCAGAGGCATTCCCATACACACAGGCGTTGGAGCTGTTCTTCATGAAATCCCAGAAGGATGAAGTGCTCTGACAAACAGTGCCATCTTTGCGCAAAATGATTATACCGGAATGAAAAGTCAATAAATAATGTTGTTAAAACTTCTTTTTTTTTCGCGCAACCCCCCGCCCCCCCCTCCTTGCCACCACCCGCCCAAGTATATTTCATATCTGTGGGGAACACTGGGTTGTGTATTTTAACCCAGGAGATGGGTTATACATTTAATCCAAATGCTGGGTCAAATTAATTACAGCCCTGGGTAAATTCATTAGAACAAACACATCCTAACAGCATCCTAGCAGATCTACAAGTTCATAGCACGTCACTTTGTGCCACGCTATGAACTTGTAGATCTGCCATTTCTAAATCTCAAAATCTTTGCTTCTGGTAGCAAGATGAGTTTTTTCAGAAAACTGTTAGATTTAAAAGACATTTGTAGAATCGGGTACTCCCAAAAAGGCTTGATATTCCCAATAAGGGTATCCCACCCACACCACAGATTCCCTTTGTTTCCTTACATCGGCAATTAATAAAAATGTGCATCTAGTACTCGCCCTAACCAAAGCAGCATCTAAAGGGCATGTTTGTGTCAGACAAATTTGTCACCAACCATGATGAAAAACAGCAAATATGCCAGCCAGCATAGCAAATTACTGGTTCATATACTGGCTATGTAAACGTTACAAAGAAAATCCTCCAACATGATCACAAAAATGTACTGCTCCTTTAGGTGATCCGAACTACAGGAAACTAAGATGTGCAAATAAACATTTTAACAATTTATGCTTCCACCATTTAGCTCTTTTAACTCAGCACACAACTTGGTTATAAAATACTTTGAGCATGAGGTAGTATTTTGAACATCACACACACACACTTCACAAATCCAACACCATTCGATTTGACCAGATATAATATAACTCTACTCTGAGCCAAAGAGCAGCAGAAGAAAGAGGAAAGAAAAGGATCAAGTCCACAATATAGTATTATGAACATGAACACACTTCAGAAATCCAGCAATATTTGATTTAACCAGATAGAACCCTACTCTGAGCCAAGCAGCAGAAGAGAGAGAATAGAACAGGAGGACCAGCAGCAGAAAAGAAAAGGATCAAGACCACAAGTCTACTTGCAAGAAAGTATTGCTGCATGCAAGGACGTAGCAGGTTTTGACTCCTCTCCTCCCTTGATTTCGTACACTGCATTTGAGGAATTTCCATACAGCTTCACACTGCTTTGTGTAGTCGATGTCAAATATATAGAATACCTTGAAACAGACATCTACTGCCTGAAGCAATGTGTTTTGTTCCAACGCCTCCCCATCAAGAATAACGAACGCCTGAGAGGTGTGCCAAATATCGTTTCCCAGGGACAGGACATATGGGTAAGGTCTTGACACCTTCGCCTCATGGAGTATCCACCAAGTTTGTTCCAACCTGAGAAAGAAATAAAGAACAAAAGATAAATCAAACAAAGTAAAAGATTGTGGAAAAGCAAAGAGTAAGCAAGATTTGTTAGTGGCTGATACAATGCATATTCAGAAACAATGTTCTGAATTATTCTTGAGCCCAGGAATAACAGGCAGTCAGGCACATTCTTAACCACTTAAACTGGACCTGGGTTGGCTCTGTACTTTAGACCACTGTTTTCCATCTTCGCCAAAAATAGCCAATCTAGCTGCCATTTTTGGCTAATGTCCCCGCCACACCCCCAAGAATATGGATGCTGGGTTCAAGTGATTAAAAGAATAACATTTCCCTTTAGATATGCAGAGGGACTTACAGGCTTATGATCGATGAAGGCCAACTTAGACTCCTCGATAGTGTACCGGAACACTTTTCGGCCAACCCTGTAGACAGTTGGTGGAAGCAGTGTTGGTAACTGGCTCAGAGCAAGTTCCCCCAAACAATCTGTAGGAAGACAATTTTATAGGTATCAATATGTGGCATGGCATATCTGTGAATTGGTCATTTAGTAGCAAAATAAAGTCTGCTGTACAATATAACAATGTATTACCGGGTGTTAATCCATCAAGCGACGAGATAAGTTTCCCTTCCCGTCTCGCCAGGTGCAGGATCTTGTCTTTAAACAAAGGTAGCCAGGTTTCGAAGAGCTTAGGCGCAGCCTCTCCATGTAGGATCTGAAAGTCCTGTGCAATCTAAATGAAAAAAAGAAAATTCAATGTGGCAGCTGACATACTGATAAAAGATTGTTATAAACAATGCATCCACATCATATGTAAACATATACTCCTTCCTAACTTACCATGCCTGGAGTGAATAGATGTGGGAACTCTTGGCGGATCCCCTGAATGTCCCACCCATTTTCCCTAAAAGACTTGGCCCTGTTTGATAGTTTGCAGAAAGTACAGCAGTACAAGAATGTTAAAAGGATAACACAAAAAGCCCTGAGGACAGTTGCAGACAGGTGCTCTTTTATGGCAGCAGTTGCAGACAGGTGCTCTTTTATGGCAGCAGTTGCAGACAGGTGCTCTTGTATGGCAGTTTTGGAGGGTAAGGAGTTGCACTTTCTTGATGGCTGGTGGTAGGGTGTTCCACATTTTGGTAGCATAATAGTCAAATGAGAGGTCTAGTAGTAGTTTGTTTTGAGAAGTCTGTAGTTCAGATTTGAATGACTTGATGTGCTACAGTACCATGAGGTGCATGCATAGGCAAAATGACATTGAATGAGTGCTGCAGCTAGTGTCCTCAGTGCATTCCTACTGACCTGTACACTGCTGTATCCTGCATGTATTGCTCCACCTGGTTTAGGGGCTGCGAATTGTGTTTCAGCCATTCTTTACACTGTATGGCTCTTTCTTCCGATATGGTACATTCTATAAAAGTACACATTAGGATATTAACAATCTCAAAATTATATGTCTGTATTGCTTAAACAAATTATTCAGTTCCAACGATTAACTGGTATGAATGTCCTACGAGTGCCAGCTTCACTACTTTGTGGTGGTGTCTGCTGCGTGCTCTATGACCTGGCCGGTTTTCTCATCCTCTTTCTGACGTTCCGAAGCCTCTCTTCGAGGAATCCAGTGGCTGGGCGGCGGTTCTGTCCTGGGGTGAACCAGTATCCCTGTCAAGAAATGAAAGTCTTTGGTGAATAGAGATGAGGCACATTTTGATAGCGTGGCGACAACATGTGGCTGAGCCATCTAGAACAGGGTTTGTCTGTATGTCTGTCTGACAACACCAGGCATCAAATAGCACAGAAGTCCAGTACTCTGGTGCTGGGAGATGAGTTGTATTGTGTTCAACTGACTGTTTTAGCATCAATTCCTCAATAAAATGTTAATTACTTACGAAGCCACTGCTTGAGTCCGACTCGTCCTTCAAGGAGGGAAACCCATGAATCAAAGCTGCAGCCAGGGCTCGAAATTAACTTTTTTCCTCAGTGTCCCACAACTGTCCCGAATTCTACTTTGTATTGTCCCGGATATAACCAGCAGTGTCCCAAATTTTTATTTGTATCGTCTAGGGGTGTAACGGTTCACAAACATTTCGGTTCGGTACGTACCTCGGTTTTTTGGTCACGGTTCGGTTCGGTACGTTTTCGGTACAGCAGAATTTTTTTTCACAAAACAAAACATATATATATATTTTTTTTTTATTATTATTAAACTGTGGATAATGTATTCACTCAAATAAATACAAAATATAATAAAATAAACATTAAGGTGCAGCATTTCGATTAACTGAAATCATCTGTATTTGAACTGTACTGTACTAGCACCTAAGCAGCCAGTTTGACATTATGACTTGCTTGTCATTGTATTTTCATGTTTTTTTTAAAGAAAGATGAACTTGTCCACCTTAGGCGCATTCACACCGCAGTACTTTTCCCACAAAGGTTCATGAGAACTTAGTTCATGAGAACTCTTTAGTTCTCATGAACTAAGTACAGATCGCGTTCACACCGGAATAAGTCCCTGGGGGAGGATTAGGCAAATTAAGGCGCTGACGTCACTTCTTCTTCTTCTGCTTTGGGTTTACTGGCAGGCCGCAAACCAGTTCACGGTGTATACTGCCGCCCAAAGTCCCCGGCCGGAAGTCCCCGGAGTTGGGGACTGGCTTCAGTAGAAGCTGCTGGGACTCCCAGCAGCTTCTACTGAAGCCTTCCGAGTAAATCGCCAGAACGCCGACACCTCCTCATCTCCACCACTCCCATGTTTTATTTTGTGTTGCCATAAATTAGTCTCTCTGCGTTTCTGCGCTGGGCTAATGCTAATAATGCTAATGCAAGGATAATAAAATGGCGGCTTCACAAAACTTTTTGGGAGTTTTACGGGGCGTGGTTTGTAATCTGCCCAGCCAATCAGAAATATAGCTCTTTTCTCACAAAAGAGCCACTCGAAAGTCCCTGCTCTCTAGCAGGGACTTTCGAGGGGGTAAAAAGGTTCTCATGAACTAAGATCGCATGAACCTTTGTGGGAAAAGTACCGCGGTGTGAATGCGCCTATTGCTTGCCGAAAGGGCAGATCTGCTGGCACTAACAATGTCTCCTGCTGTGGAGAACACCCTCTCTAGGGACAGAGGTAGCAGAAACAGCCAGGTAGCGCTTTGCTAACATGGCAACATAAGGATATTTGGCGTTTGTAATAGCTTTGGCTCGGTCTGAACTTTTTGCGATTGGTGGAGGCTTAAATGCTAGCGGGAGTTGGGTTTGCACTTCAGTCATTTTTCTTTTGGTACCGGTGATATTCACGTTCGGGTGATGCCTTTTCAAGAGTGCAAGTTTGATGTATTGCCAGCCACGTAACCAATTTTAGTTGAACAATGCCGACAAACAGCTTTGGTTCGGTCCACCTGTCTTTGTCCGTCATCCTTGAACGTAACTGCGAAACCAAAATGTTCCCAAACCGGAGACTTCAATGATGCTGGAGGATTTTCGAGCTCAACTTTATCTGCGTTCGCCATTAATTTTCGACAGTTCCTCAAATTACTGACTAAATTTGAACGCATCCCTCTGACCAGCTCTCATAGTATGCCTCTCGTCCAATGAAATGACTTGCTCGCTCTATGACGCGTTGAACCCAATGTGAGCAAATTACTCTGAATGCTGCGACGCAGCACCTGAGATTACTTCCAAGAAGTTGTTCACGTTCTCAATTTTTTTACGTTTAACGTTATATTCGTTCGGTACACTTCGGTACACACGTGTACCGAACCGAAGGGCCCGTACCGAATAATTTCGGTACGGGTACGTGTACCGTTACACCCCTAGTATCGTCGCCCCCCCAATTATGCAGAATACATATAATTTGATACTTTTTTGTCACTTAATCATCACACCATAGACTCTGGTCCACCATGTAAGTTTAAAATACTTATTCTTTTAAACATATGAATATTAGTCTGATCTGTTGCCTCTCCTAGAGTAGAAGGGAAGAGAGTTGTTTTAAGACATGTTTTTCTATTGTTTCTCAATATCCAGACTAATTTATCATTGTCATGTCAACATTGAAGAATTCTGATTTGTATTTTTCAATTCAATATGGTATGGCTGTATGGTCTCTGTGTTTTATGATCGGAACCCTCTATCTGGCAATAAAAGTAGTATGAATGATAATAAAAAAACAGAAGTTCCATAATACAGTTTAATAAATGTATCTGTTTTCAGTTCTAATTACAAGTTATCCTCACAAGTCAGTAGTACTATAGGAATATAAATTGATCTTCTATCTTCATTCATGAATGTCAATCATCTTGCTCTCACTCATTCAACCCCAAGGCACAAAAACAACTGGAACATTACTCTCTTAACATGACACATTATTCTCATACCAGAGTTGATTGACAAACTAAAATTACCTTGCGACCCCCTTTCTAATCGTCACCCAATCTGACTGACGTTCTTGACCAAAAAAAACTAAAACACTAAAAAAAGATGAAAAGCTAAATGATTAGCTAAATGCCTTACGTTTTTGCAGCTAAAGATTCTAGCCTGGTCACTGACTGGCTGACAAAGAAAATACAAAAATGATAGGCTACACCTCTTATTCTGATCAACTGTATTTCACATAATTTTCACAAACTTCAAAAGAACATGACACTGCATTTTAGGACATTTGTATGCATTGTAAGGCACACTTCAGTTGCTAGCGTTAGTTAGCGCTAGCTAACATTGACACTTAAGACAACTAACTTACCACAGTGGAAGACGATGCATCATGACCAGGACTTGGGATGTTTTCGTTTCGGGAGTCGGCAGAATTGGGGCTTGCATCAGGGGGCTGTTTATTCAACCACCTCAGCATTTCTTTCTTCTTTTTTTAACTGTCGTGACCGTTGCATTGGCGCGAGTCTAGCAGCAGTCAGCAGCAGAGTGGATGGCGTAGAATGCATTCTATGATTTGACAGCCCAATTACTTTGCAAATAACACTCATTTTGAAGTTTACTTTTAATTTTCTTTTCACTGTCCCGAAATAGTCCCAGACAAAATAGATTTTTGTCCCAGTAGGAATTTTTATGGTCCCCGGGACATCGTTAATTGCGATAATTTTGTCTCACTGGTAGGACTGCAAACACAGAAAAACTAAATTACCAGCAGAGTCAAATTTAGATCTTAAGTATTTATAAAACATGTGTTGCACCCCAGTATAATGGCTGTAGCATATTCTGCAGCTAATAGGGATCCTAATAAATTAAAAACACTACTGAACGTGTGTTTTGGTACATGTGTTGTGCATGTTTATGTTGGTGGTCTAGGTAAATGTCAGACTTGAAAGTAGTGTCCAAAGGGGCAATAATAAGAATACACTTTATTTAATAGCACCTCTCATGACATGAATGCAGCTCAAAGTGCTTAAGGTATTGGGTAAATAAATAATATACATGTTGGGTACAAAAATAACCCAATACCATATAAATAACCCAGAATGAGTTAACCTCTTAAACCCTGAGCCTGTTTTTAAGGTTTCAGGCTCGAAAATGCTATGCCCAAAACAAATGACTATAACTTAACTTCTGAAAGGGTTATATGCAGGGGTGCACATAACTTTTTTGCCCTGTTACTCAAAGGAGCACCTGGAGATGTTGCTTGGTGCTCATCCTTAAAATGAAATAAACCGTAACTTTTGAGGGGGTCTTGACTTTATTTGCCAGACACACGGCACTGAACACACATGCAGAGGTGAACACAGAACACACGTGCAGAGGTGAACACAGAACACACATGCAGAGGTGAACACAAGACAACATTAGCACGACCAGTAATCCTACAAGCTGTCATCACTACCCTCCTGACTGTTCTCCTCACTGTCTTGCTCTCTGTCAGACATGGTAGCTGATGATGTAGGCCTACTACTTTCTCTCTGGTTGAGTCTGCGATTAGCTGCTTGCATCCACAAGTCAACAGCTGGGTTTGGGTCGAAAGTCTCTGTTGTCATCTTAGACAAATGGATGTGCATCAGGGATGAGAGGCGCGAGTCTGACAGGCAGGATCTGAACTTGCTTTTTATTATATTAAGATGTGAAAATCCCCTCTCACATGAAGCACTGCTCAAGGGCAGTGTAAGGGACAACAGCAGGACTTTCTGAATGTTGGAGTATCTTTCTGGATTGCTTGTCTTCACTATGTTGACCAAGTCATACACAGAGAACGCTGCCAAACGTTTTCCTGCTTGCTTTAAAAGCATCCATTCTCTTACAGTGGAGTCTCTGTCGATAGACAGGATGGCCTCATATTTCTGAAGAATGTCAGTCAGTGTTGTGTTGCCAAAACTGTGGAGATCTTTTTTTTCTTTAGGCCAAGTTGAAGGATCAAACATTAAAAATGGATCACATGACTTGAGGGATTCATATCTGCTTTCAAACTCCTGAATTAGACCTCTCAATACATCAACCTTGTCCCTGTCAGAATCAGCATTTGAAACAGTCTCTTTCCTGTACTTGCCTTCACTGTCAAGCAGAAGTGTCAGCTGTCCGATAGCTGCCATGAGCTCATCCTTGCATTCACCAATAGTCAAATTCTCTTGCTGGAACTTGAGGGAGGTGAACTGTAAAATGTTTCCAGTGTCAAGCATGTTGGCTAAGAAACACTTAAAACGCTCTGTGCAGACATGTTTTAGGTCACTGTCATCACTTGTAGCCACTTGAGATTGAATGGCAGGTAATAGCCTCCATATTTTCAAAAGAGTCTCTTGTCTCCATGCACACCATCTAATGTTGTGAAACTTTCCTAGTTTTACAAAGGCAATGCCATTCTCATCACATATCATCTTAAGTTGTTCTGTTCTTTTGGCGCCCCCTTTCTGTAAATAAAAGCGTAGCAGCTTGACAACGGAGCTATTAAATGTCTCACAGTATGGAACCATGCGATCAGCTGACTTGGCGCAGTTCTCGAGGGTGTGGGCGGTACAAAGAATATGCACAAGGGAATCCCCAATCGCCACCAGTTTACGCAGTTTGGGGACTACCCCGTTGTAAACTCCGACATTCACTGCAGCTCCGTGTGTGCATACAGACACCAACTTCGTCTTCCACTCATCTCCTAAGCCACAAGCATGGAAGAGTTACTCCAGCCCGTCTGTTATGTCCTGTGCCGTTCGTTTCACACCCAAATTAATTAACCCAATGAAATCTGAGCTAAACTCTCCCTCGCTACCCACAGACACAATGTACACAATTTCCTGCTCCACTTTTGTTATATCTTCTGATCCATCAAAAAGCACACCCCAAAATTCAGCTGCCTTCAATTTTTCATACAACTCTGAACTGATTGCCTGTGCGATGGTCTCCATGATGCGGGATCCCCCTTCTCTCGAATGATAAGCAGTCCCAACATTAACGTCAAGCCTCTTGAGAAGCGCAATGTCCTCCTCATATGAACGCATAGGACGTGCATGTTTGGCTTTGTGAAAGGCCAACAGAAACATATTACTCAGAGCTTGGCGCTGTTCTTCATTGAGTGTATCCTGCCACCTGTCGAGGGGACGATTGGGGTTCTTATCCTGGTTGTCAGCTATCTTCACATGCTCTTTGCTCTTCTCATGCTTTTCAAAAGCTGGATGACTAAAATTCGTACAACCTATATAAAAGCACCTGCGCACCAGTTATGTGCGCAGGTGCGCACATACATCTGTGAGTTGGATGTAGAAGTGTCAGAATCAATAGATATTACAGTCAGAGTAAATTCAGATGGAACATAGTAAAAAAAGGTAAATTCTTACCCCCGCCTAAAAAAAAAACATTACTTATAGTGAAAACTACCCTTGAATGATGGGATAGTAGACTAAAAGCTTTAGGAATCCAAAGTATAACATATAAGTACCCTGTATCAAGATTGAGGCAAAACAAGTTACATTTGACCTTTTTAGAGAGGTTTAGCAAAAAGTGACCTTTGGGCACATTTTGGCACATTTGGATACCATCAGTGCCATTTGACCTTTTTCAGGTACCATACTGTAAAAATAATTTTATTATCACTATAGGTAATCATTCCATCCAAATAGAAGTGTTTTAAAAAAAATGTAAAAAAAAATTTTTTCAATTACATTTTTTTTAATATGTAAATGGTGTGTGTGGAGTTTGCCACAGTCCTTACATGTTTATCACCCGACTAACACTTCTAGGAAGGTTTACTTACACAATAACAATTAGGAAACATAGGATACATTTGTCTCCAACAGGAGCAGATTTATTTTAAAAATAACACACTAAAAAAACGACACTAAAACCGAAATAACACCACAAGCATATTTTTTGTAAACACTGGCAAAAAAGAAAAAATGTACACAACCTGAATGTGTTTAGTGTTTTTGAATTGAGGCACCAGGCACTTAGTGCAGTAGATAGGTCTTCACCGTTGTGTTGCCAGCATCAGAGCACCTCCTGAGCGCGGTGGCATCTTCCCCATAATACTTGGGAATGCATACGAGTGATGATGGGGGGGGGGGAGTGGTGGTGCTGCTGCAGGGACTTCACCCCTCATGTCTGCAGCAAGCTGCTCCCTGAAGGACTTCTGGGTGTGTGGCTTCGTCCTGCCGGGGTCACCCCTCATCTTGTGCAGCTCCTTGTGGAGAAGGAAGCTGTTCACCACTGCAATGTCCAGAAAATGGTAAAAAAAAGGTCTTGTACCATTTCATGGTTTTGTGGTGAACGCTGTAGTACCCAATCAAAGCATCGGACACATCCACGCAGCCCATGCTTCTGTTGTAGTCCACCACAGCGTCAGGAACGGTAACAATCTTAGTCTGCCACACACCAGCCCGTTTCACTTTCCTCCTGACAGTCTGTCCACTGAATCAGAAGATGCAGAGGGAGGCTGAGTTAGTACTGGTGGAGACGTCCGGCGGCGTAGCTTGGATGTTGATGGCTCTGGGGCAACTGTATGCTGATCTGATGCACGTCGTAGCTCGGATGAGGCAGATGTTGATGGCTGTGATCCAGAAGCCATTTGATACTTGTCTTCATCACTGTGAAAACAAATGTGGAAAAAACAATTACTTTGATTACTTCACTGGCTTATTCTTTCAAAAATGTAACTCAAATCAGAAATAATTCCTCCATTAAGTGTGTGTGAAATAAAAGTATACATATATATATATATGTGTATACTGTTATTTCACACACGCTATAGTATATATGTATACTGTTATTTCACACACGCTATAGTATATATATATATATATATATATATATGTATACTGTTATTTCACACACGCTATAGTATATATATATATATATATATATATATGTATACTGTTATTTCACACACCATCCATCCATCCATCCATCTTCTTCCGCTTATCCGTGGTCGGGTCGCGGGGGTAGCAGTTCCAGCAGAGAGCCCCAAACTTTCTTTTCCCTGGCGACATCAACCAGCTCTGACTGGGGGATCCCAAGGCGCTCCCAGGCCAGCGAAGAGATATAATCCCTCCACCTGGTCCTAGGTCTACCCCTTGGTCTCTTCCCAGCTGGACGTGCCTGGAACACCTCCCTAGGGAGGCGCCCAGGTGGCATCCTAACTAGGTGCCCGAACCACCTCAACTGGCTCCTTTCGACGCGAAGGAGGAGCGGCTCAACTCCGAGTCCCTCCCTGATGACCGAACTTCTCACCTTATCCCTAAGGGAGACACCAGCCACCCTGCGGAGAAAACCCATCTCGGCCGCTTGTATCCGCGATCTCGTTCTTTCGGTCATGACCCATCCTTCATGACCATAGGTGAGGGTAGGAACGAAAATGGCCCGGTAGACAGAGAGCTTTGCCTTCTGGCTCAGCTCCCTTTTCGTCACAACGGTGCGGTAAAGCGACTGCAGTACCGCTCCCGCTGCTCCGATTCTCCGGCCCATCTCACGCTCCATTGTTCCCTCACTCGAGAACAAGACCCCGAGATACTTGAACTCCTTCACTTGGGGTAAGGACTCATTCCCTACTTGAAGTGGACAGTCCATCGGTTTCCTGCTGAGAACCATGGCCTCAGATTTGGAGGTGCTGATCCTCATCCCAGCCGCTTCACACTCGGTTGCGAACCGATCCAGTGAGTGCTGAAGGTCGCAGACCGATGAAGCCATTAGAACCACATCATCTGCAAAAAGCAGTGGTGCAATCCTTAGTCCACCGAACTGCAGACCCCCTCCCCCATGACTACGCCTCGAAATCCGATCCATGTATATTACAAACAGGATTGGTGACAAAGCGCAGCCCTGGCGGAGGCCAACCCTCACCGGAAATGGGTCCGACTTACTGCCGAGGACCCGGACACAGCTCTCGCTTTGGGAGTACAGAGATTGGATGGCCCTGAGTAGAGACCCCCTCACCCCATACTCCCGCAGCACCTCCCACAGTAACTCCCTGGGAACTCGGTCATACGCCTTCTCCAAGTCTACAAAACACATGTAGACCGGATAAGCGTATTCCCAGGCCCCCTCCAGGATCCTTGCGAGAGTAAAAAGCTGATCCGTCGTTCCACGACCAGGACGGAATCCGCATTGTTCCTCCTCAATCTGAGGTTCGACAATCGGCCTGACCCTCCTTTCGAGTACCTTAGAGTAAACTTTCCCGGGGAGGCTGAGTAGTGTGATGCCTCTGTAATTGGCACACACCCTCTGATCCCCCTTTTTAAAAAGGGGGACCACCACCCCGGTCTGCCACTCCTTCGGCACTGTTTCCGACTTCCACGCAACGTTGATGAGACGTGTCAACCATGACAGTCCCTCAACACCCAGAGCCTTCAGCATTTCCGGGCGGATCTCATCCACCCCCGGGGCTTTGCCACTGTGGAGTTGTTTGACGACCTCAGTGACCTCCCCCCGGGAGATTGGTGTTGATCCCCCGTCATACTCCAGCTCTGCCTCTAACATAGAGGGCGGAGTTGTCGGGTTCAGGAGTTCCTCAAAGTGTTCCTTCCAACGCCCTAACACTCCATCAGTTGAGGTCAACAACGTCCCATCCTTACTGTACACAGCTTGGATGGTTCCCTGCTTCCCCCTCCTGAGGTGTCGGACAGTTTTCCAGAACAACTTTGGTGCCGCCCGAAAGTCCTTCTCCATGTCTTCTCCGAACTTCTCCCACACCCGCTGCTTTGCCTCGGCCACGGATGAGGCTGCTGCCCTTCGGGCTTGTCGGTACCTTGCAACTGCCTCGGGAGTCCCCCGGGATAACAAATCCCTGAAGGCCTCCTTCTTCAGTCGGACGGCTTCCCTGACCACCGGTGTCCACCAGGAGGTTCGAGGGTTACCGCCCCTTGAGGCACCTAGGACCTTGAGACCACAGCTCCCCGCCGCGGCTTCGGCAATAGAGGCTTTGAACACCGACCACTCTGGTTCAATGTCCCCAACCTCCACAGGAATGCCCGAAAAGCTCCGCCGGAGGTGTGAGTTGAAGGCCTCCTGAACTTGGGCCTCCTCCAGACGTTCCCAGTTCACCCGAACTACACGTTTGGGCTTACCAGGTCTATCCAGAGGCTTCCCCCGCCACTCGACCCAACTCACCACCAGATGGTGATCAGTTGACAACTCCGCCCCTCTCTTTACCCGAGTGTCCAAAACATACGGCCTCAGGTCCGATGATACGATAACGAAATCGATCATGGACCTTCTGCCTAGGGTGCTCTGGTACCACGTACACTTATGAGCATCCTTATGTTCGAACATGGTGTTTGTTATGGCCAATCCATGACTAGCACAGAAGTCCAGTAACAAACCACCACTCCGGTTCAGATCAGGGGGGCCGTTCCTCCCAATCACGCCCCTCCAAGTGTCTCCATCATTGCCCACATGTGCGTTGAAGTCTCCCAGCAAGATTAAAGAGTCCCCTTCAGGAGCCCCATACAGGACTCTTTCCAGGGTCTCCAAGAAGGCCGTATACTCTGAACTGCTGTTGGGTGCATAAGCACACACAACAGTCAGAGTTTTCCCCCCCATAACCCGCAGGCGTAGGGAGGCGACCCTCTCGTCCACTGGGGTAAACTCCAACAACGAAGCACCTAACCGGGGACTTGTGAGTATCCCCACACCCGCCCGGCGCCTCACACATTGAGCAACTCCGGAGAAGAATGGAGTCCAACCCCTATCCAGAAGTAAGGTTCCAGAGCCGACGCTGTGCGTAGAGGTGAGCCCAACCAGATCCAACTGGTAACGCTCCACCTCCCGCACAAGCTCCGGCTCCTTCCCCCCCAGAGAGGTGACGTTCCACGTCCCCAAAGCCAGCTTCTGTCGCCCGGGTCTGGTCCGTCGAGACCCTCCGCTTTCACTGCCACCCTTCTGGCAGCGCACCCGACCCCATTGATGTTTCCCGTAGGTGGTGGGCCCGCGGGACGGAGAAGCGGAGGTGTTGCCCACGTTGCCTTTTCGGGCTGGGCCCGGCCGGGCTCCGTGGCAAGCCCGGCCACCAGACGCTCGCCGACGAGTCCTCCTTCTGGGCCTGGCTCCAGAAGGGGACCCCGGGCTTCCTCCGGGCCGGGTATCCTCACTTCTTAGTTTTTCTTTCATGAGGTCTTTTGAACCAATCTTAGTCTGGCCCCTTGCCTGAGACCAATTTGCCATGGGAGACCCTACCAGGAACACAAGGTTCCAGACAACACAGCCCCCAGGTTCATCAGGGCACACAAACCTCTCTACCACGGTAAGGTGCTGGTTCTTCAGAGAGAAGAACACACGCTATAGTATATATATATAGACTGATATACAATACAGCTTTATTTATAAACTGCTAATAGTCAATGTCTGTAGAACTACAAAACAGCATCCATTTGGCGTGTGTGGAATAACAATATATATATATATATATATATATATATATATACACTGGGTTGATATACAATACAGCTTTATTTATATACTGCCGTGTTATAGTCACGAAATACAATTAATCTATTTATACGTTCACCAACATGATGCCATTGTTTTAGTTTCTCACGGACGATAACGCTACAACAACAAAGTGGCGTCCATTTTGTATTTTGCGAGTGTGGAATTACTATAGATTACACAAAATACACAACTAATAGATACAAACAGAGTACACTGTAAAAATATCCACCATGAATTCACAATAATTACCTGGCAACTTGTTGCATGACTTTCACAGTAAGGTTCACAGCAATTTACTGTGAATGTCTTCACAGCAATGTATTGTAATTTCACATCCATGATATTACAATGCATTGTTGTAAAGGTACAACTGTATACTGTAACTTCACAGCTTCAATTACTGTGATATTACAGTATGTTACTGGGGAATTACATCATTTTGTTGTACATTAATTACAACAAGGGCCTGTACTTTTACATTTCTATTGTGAAAGTACTGCAGGAGTAGCCAGTAATCTACTGTGAATTTACAATGTGTACTGTGAAAGTACTGCAGGAGTAGCCAGTAATTTACAATGATACACGTGCATAACTGTAATCCCCAGCTCCAGTACTTCCTGGAGGAAGCTCATACAATGGTTTCCTGTCCAAGTTTAACAGGAAACCAAAGTGTGAGCTTCCTCCTGGAAGTACTGGAGCTGCACTATAAAAATGCACGTAATGTTATTGTACAATTTTTAAAAACAACACACCAAACACACAAATGAGGTAAAATCAATGGAAGCCCACTGGCATATTTATTGACAAAATAAACAACAGAGTAAACAAACAGGAACATGAACTAGTTCACCTCAACTATCCATAAAAAAAACAGATGAACCCTTAACGGATCCTTTAAACAAATAATCCCTCGCAGGTGAACTGACCGTAATGCTTCCCACTAAACTTGTCCCCGCACACCATGCAGTCTATGCAGACCATTCCAAGTCTATCAGCTTCCGGTGAAGGGTGCTCACGTGAGGGTTAATGGAGCTTCGCTTCTTTGCCTTGGAGCCTTTCTCCGGGTTGATGCCCAAGAAGCATCTGTTAATAAGCAAAGATAAGTTTCAGTTTTAAATACACTCATGTATTGCAGGCAGCATTTATCAAGGTGTTCACCTGTGTCTTTTCCCACACCGACTGTTACTAGTACAAACCTGTTGGATCATCCTCTCACAATAACATTATTTGTAGCCTAGCAGAGTGCCTCAGGTACCTCTAACATAAGGTTTACTTACTTATCTGAATTTTGAAGCCATACTATATTGTGAATTAAACCATTATGTCAATTTTTTAACAAGCTAGCCCAGCAACATCAAGTGATGGTGTGGTCCCAATTTGCATATTTGGTTCCAGGCTTCATACTCAAAGCATTTAATCTACTTTATAGCCTCTGTAGAAAGGCATGGACTTAATAGCAAGATAGTGAAACACAAATTTGCATGACAAGTCTTACTGATGACATTGATCATGTGTTTGAGTGTTACAATACCTTTGGATGAACTCCAGTGTGCATGATCCAACGGGATATTTGAGGTTGAAGACATAGTAGCTGCTGAATAAAGCAGCTACCCCATGCAAAAAAAATGGGTGTGGGCCCATTACCACTTGTCCCTCGATGGATAGCATCCACCCAGAAGGCTTCATTGTGTCACCTGAAATGAACAGATACCCCGTCATGCGTTATTGTGGATAGGTACATTCCTAGAATCAATCAAAAATAATACTTGAGCTAGAGATGTCAATACCAGATCCGAGTAACATTCATGATTGGCCAAGGACCAAAAAGCAGGAAAATATACAGTGCAGAGCATGCAAGGACATGACACAGAACCCTCCAGGTGGACAGCACTTTTCTACTCCACCATCAGTGAGGTAGGCTACTTAACAGTCACTGTAAAAGCATCAAAGGTCCCTGTGCAGATAGGAGAATCTGGCTGAACGACAAAGCAACTCCCTAGCCCTCCTCCCTCTGCCTTTATGGATAGACGGTTTAACCTCATTCCTCTATGGGTAGATGGTTACGAGCCCAGCTAGAACGAGAACATGTCAACTCGTCAGACCCCTGAATCATTGAAACAGGCTATAGATTTTAACTAACGCGAATCGCTGAAACAAATGGCGTCAGAGTATCGTAAGTGTCGTTTCACAGACTGGACTTGAATGGAGTGCAGGAGAGATGGAAGGCCTTCAGTCAGATTCTCCCCTCGATGCAAAGGAACACTTAAGCTCTTTAGAGTAACCATTCAGTATCCTATACCTCATCGATGGTGGAGCAGAACAGGGATGTCCTAAGAGAAATTATATAACTAGAATAAAAGCAGCAGTGAAGTCTAGCCATTCAGGTCAGAAAAGCAGGAAATCCTGTATAAACAGGAAAAATCCCATCCCTGACCATTACATTACCTTGAATGATCAAGCAGGGGGTGCTTGGGAGTGCTGCAGTATTCACTACATCAGCAGCAGTGGCACAGGTCTGTAACAAAGTAACACACAATAGCATAGATTTAACATTATGCAAGGATGAAGATCGTTCATTGGTCAGAGGTAAATCAGAACATAATAAATGGTCTAATAATAATAATTACTTGCATTTATATAGCGCTTTTCAAGACACCCAAAGCGCTTACAAATGGACGTCCGCAAACCAATGTGTAGCCCCCGCCTGGGTGATGCTAAGGCAACAGCTAATCCGCGCACTACAGCTCAACACAGATCAGCTCGGCCCATTTGGAGCAACTTGGGGGTTAAGTGTCTTGCTCAAGGACACTTCCGACATGCGGACAGTCAGAGCCAGGATTCGAACCACCAACCCTACGGTCGATGAACGACCAGCTCTACCAACTGAGCTTCAGTTGCCCCTAATGTAATCACTCGTTTAGCATTTTAAATATTTAAATAAATTAAAAAAAACTTACATCAACTTCGAGCATCAGTTTCTCCGTAGGCTCCTTAAAGTAGACCATAAGGAGCTGGAGGATGCAGGCAACCTTCTCCGAACCCTCTGGATCATAGCTGGCCAGAAATTCCCTGATCTTCGGGTTGTCCAGTTTCTGACAGAAATGCAGGATGGTCTGTCCTCTCTGACCCAGGGCCTCTTGGAGCTTCTGAAGTATGTTGACGTCCGTCAGGATGCCAAAGTGGGAGAAAAGGCCTCTCTGAGAAAAGAGAAAAGGCCATTCCTCTTTGACCTCCAACATCGCTGGTGCAGGCATTCTGTTGAGGTACCTCCGCAGGATGATATAGGTCCTCACCATCAGAGGTTCTGCTCTCTCTGCCCCACCCATCCCTTCCTCTGTGTACAGACATACAAATACATGTTTGAGAGTACCCAAGTAACAACAATTAAATTCAATGTCCCCACCTCTGGGACATTTTGAGTGTCAAACCTTTAATTTCATGCTCTCATCATTACTCATTCTGAATATTAAGGTGGCCTTTTTGCTTAATGTGGGATGTTTATTCAGGTGTCAATTCACCAAAAATAAAGTAGATTGCATGCCTGATTAGATCTTCCGCAGATCCCTTTTCGAATCCTCCAACGTTGCCTCGGTCTCCCCCTCTGGTAACTCTGCTGGGCACCACCTCACACACCTAGGGATAGGAATCATAGGTTAAATCAATACTATTGGGGCCGATCATTTGGACTGGTTTTGGAGTGGGAACATTTCAATTATCATAACAGTTACACTGACGGCGATTATACAAAATCTACACATAATTTAAACATTCAATTCAAATAACCTAAGTTAGTCTAGCATGGCGGTGCCCCTTTAACCCCTGTGCCTTGCATGGTTGCTGATCGCCGTGAGTGTGAATGGAGAGGACACTGGCACTGTATGTTCGCCGCTTCTCAGTGTGTGAATGAGAAGACCATTGTAAAGCACTGGGTGTCCTGAAAAGAGCTATGTAAATGCAAGGAATTATTATTACTGTAATCTTCAAAACCTTCAACGTACAATAATTGCAATATCTATATTTTGTCCACCCCTACACATACCCGTATTGGTCGACAGGACCTCTCGTCAGTCTGGACTCTCCTGCCACTCCAGTGTTCCTTCTTCCCTCTCGGCTTCGTCGGCGTCGAGCCAGAGTGTTGTTCCTAGTTTTATATTCCACTCTAGTTTTAACTTGTTGGAGAAGAGAGGGGCATCCATCTCCAACAACTTCACCTTGCCTGCTAATGTCAGCAAAGCTTTTTGGGTGGCTCCTGACTATTAATCGGACGATGCTGTGGCACATGGCTCTGGTTGGGTTGCGCTCGTGCTGCATCATTTGATCCACCAACGCGTTTACAAAGGCCCTTTTCTCATCTGGCATTGGTCTCACTTCTTTTTCCACCGCTTGCTGAATGGCTGTTGGCATCTGGTTCCAGTTGACACGAAAGTCTACATGCCATGGCATGCCAGGCTGTGGAGACTGTGAGGAGCTTGAAGTGCTTGGGGGGCTGGACAACAGGTGATGTGGAGGCCGGAATGCTTGTGGAGAGGCCAGAGTGTTTGCGGAGCTTGAAGCAATTGGATGAGGAGAGAGCACCTCCATATTAATCGTTACAAATCCTAGAAGGGACAAAAACAATTCATAAATGAAGGCAGGGAAAGATGTAGGGCTAAGGGCCCAATTGTCTACCAGTTCTGACAATGTTCCAAGGGCCTAGTTCTAACCCCTAGTTTCCACCGGGTCCGTCTGCGCCGCGTCACGGCGGTTTTGGTCCGACTTCCTCCAGCGTCATAACCCACCGGGCGCGTTTCAGAAGCGGAGCGTCTTGCGTGCCAGCTCGCAGTTTTTGTTGATATGGGCATATTACGCAGCCGTAACTCGGCGCAGACGGACCCGGTGGAAACTAGGGGTAAGTGTCATGCGAGTCAAAATATAAATGTACCTTGCTTAATACCATTCAGCAGCTTCCGACACTGGATTGGTTTAAGGTATCTGACCAGATCCTTCTCCTCCATTAAGGCCAGGTCTTCGACACTCTCCACTCCAAGCTCATCAATTAGGGTAGTCAGCAAGTCATCAGGGAGGCCCGGTAAATATGACCAAACTGCTCCCTTTATAGCTTCCATTACCTAGTTTCATGGGCATTAACAGTCAACTGTGCTCGCTATACTATCAACAATAACAAATTAAACTATCTTCAAGGTTACAACTAAAAACTGAGCTTTAGTTTGCCATGACTAAATAGCCTGCTCCAGTACTTACGCCTGTCCTCACGCCTGTCATGTCCTCTCTTTCCTCCCCGTCTCTCATGTCCTCTCTTTCCTCCCTGTTTAAACTGCTTCCAGAAAAGAATGGTGGAGAGCAATAAGCATCTGATCATACACGTTGTATGCTGGAAGAGGATAGTAGTCCAGTAGATCTTCGTGCTTAATGCACACATAATGCTCTTGAGCCACTCCTAAGTCACAGTACACACCTATGTCACTTAACTTGACAGAAGTGTGTTTCTCTGAGACAAAGTGTACAGAGTTATGGGCAACAATGACCAGCATAATCTTCCCCATGTGAAGTCCTTCATCACTGTTCCCAAGCAAGATGAACATCCCCTTTCTGTAGTCTGTGCCTTTGACAGTAACATTGTTACAAGCCACTGCAGACTGAGACTCGAATTTACAACAGGCTACAGATGCCCTGATCTTGTCGTTGTAATCATCCACATAAAAATCAGTCCCCTTCTCTACCTGTATAAGTGGAGGGAACAAGTTTCCCGCACTCAGGTAGGCCTGGAGAAGTTGGTGTCTCTCTGATAAAGTTTTGCACAGATTTTTGAAATTGTGCAATTTTCTGGCACACTGTTTGAAAAAAGTATGTTTGCTTTCAAACCGCAGAGTCCACAGGCGAATAAGTGGGCCAAAGTGGATGATTAGATCTGGATAATGGCCAAGATAGTGATGCTTTGGCCTCAGGGCGTCATTGGGGAATAGCCTTTTCCTGTTGTATATGTACTCCTCTGTGATGACTTTCAGATATGCTACCTGACCTTCTGTAATGACTGGTGCACAGATAAGCTCAACTATCTCGCTCAGCTGCAAAATGAGCTGCCACACCTCATTGTCACAGGGATCTTTAATCCTGCCACCCACGAAGAGAGGGAGTAATCTAAGGAAACACCAATTTTGAACTGCATGCCCACTTAGTTTGACACTGCCGGGAGAGAGGTCTGCTGGTTTATCCCTACCATCATTCCCTTCATATCTGAACTGGTTCTTGCACCGATTTAACTGCAGGTACGTAAAATTATTCTCCTCAACTAAATGGCGAATATATAAAGGAAGGTCATAAGCCATGACTCCCTCAAATAAGTCATGGCCTAGACATGGTGGGAGGCCAGGCTGGCAAACATGGAAATGAGAAAGCTGGTTGAAAGGAGAGTCAAACTTGATACCGCATACAGAGTCTGTGGCACTAGTTTCCAGGTATTGCAAATTACTTGTGTATGATTGGGCCGTTCTTGTGGTAGCACACAACACTGGATTCTTCACGAAATCATCTCTATGCACCTCACAGTAGCGACAAAAATATTTAGACCGACTGAAGTTTTCTAAGAATCTCCCAATAGAATGGGATCCCAAGTTGTCTCCTGCAATGGCAACCAAAGAGCCCTTTAGTACAGTGCCATCAGATATGACTACACCTCTCTCCTCCAGGATTTTGAGGTCCTTAATTAGAGGTGCAAAAACCTTATTTACCCCAAAATACTTAAAGTCCTGCTCCCTACATAAGAGGACAAGTTGCATCTGCTCTATAGAAGATCTATTGTGAGGCAAGATGTCAGTCAGGGTTAGGTAAACAGCTAAAACCTTGTGCTTTTTTTTTCCTGAGCCCAGTGGGTTCACAACCTCAAAGGCATCTTGGTACAGTATCAAACCAAGTGAGGAAGGGTCAGCTTTCAACATTGGATTACTTTGAAATCCTTCTCCATCCTTGACATCCTGATAGACAGCATCAGTAGATGGCTGCAAACGTGTCATGGTATACTGTTCTTGTAGAGACTCATTTTTTAACAGTGTCACCAATGTCTCATGTATAGGTACATACTGAGCAAAGCATTCTTTGTCATTTTCATCATTGCCCAAGAGCAAAGGCATGGGTGAACATAGTTGAAACACTCTTTAAAAGTAGCCTTCCTCTTTGCATCTGTACTGAGTCTTCCCCTGTTATAGAGTGTGAGTAGATCCTCTCTGTTCAGTTCATCGATGATGCTGCTTATAGTGGCCTGAGGGATTCCAAGTTTCTTCAATTTCTCACTCAGAATGTTAAGTGAATGAGACAGACCAAGTTCGTGAGCACTTTGAAAGCCATCAATAATGGTTTGTATGGTGCTTGCCGGTAAGAGTAGCTTAGATTGCAATTTCAAATACAAAAGTGTAAGGTTATGTAAAAAAAGGGTTTCGTCCACAACTAATGGCACTTCTGGTTCATCATCATGTTCACCAGCAGCTTCTGAAGATGACTGAATGGGTTCTGGCAATGACTCTGTAGTAATAGACTTGTCTAGTACCAAGTCATCTAAAACTGAATCCTCTGCACGCCTATGTTTCCTGTTAATATGTGAAGCAAAAGTCATCACGTTTGTGAACCTGCAATCACAACCTCTAAATGGGCATTTAGTTTCCATTCCTCCCCTTACGTGTGTCTTCAAATGCTTAATAAGAGAGGCTAAAGTGTCACACTTAAATGCACAAGCCTCAAGCACACATTTCAAGGATGTGTCAGGTGGTAGAGCTGATATGTCAGGCGGTATAGGCCGAGCAGCTTGCAGGTAGCACTTATGCAGCCTATATATATGCGATTTCAGTGCTGTGTGTTTTCTGTACCTCCGTGAGCAGTCAGACACCCCACACTGATAGTGAAAATTGGGGGCATTACTGTGCAGCTTTGTGTGCTGAACAAAGTTATGCACCTTCTCAGACACATGCTGACATCCAATATATTTACAGTGGAACATTGTTGTGCGTGGTAGCTAGTTACCTACCCAAACATAATTCAATCTGCCTGACACTGAACAGGACGGTTAGCCTGGCTGCCTGACAATGAAGAGGATGGTTGGCCTCTCTGATGACCTAGAAAAAAGGAGACCAGAGAAAGGAGAAATTACAAAGGCAACCAACAAAAGGAATTTTTCAGTTTGCATGCAGATTATGAACATGAGCATGTTGTAAAGGTGTTCAAGGTCAGGTAGTCGAGCATCCCATTTAGACGAGACAGCAGTCACACAATCATATCGAAATGTTAACTACCTTAGCTGCAACAACACTCGAACAGTCACTAGCAATTTCCTCGAGGATGGCGCACGCACACCAGGATCACGAGGATGTCAAATCTGGAATAGAGGCAGTAAAAAACCACCACAGGGAAGCAAGAGAGGTAAGCTCACATAAATGTACTGTCAAACAGTATTGGATGAAGTGATTAATCTCAGGTGTGCTGCACAGGTAACAAATGTCTGAGCTTCAGTACTTCATGGAGGGAAGCACTGGAGCTGGGGACTGCAGTTATGCACAGTCTATAAACTACGGTCTGTGTTGCATACTAGGCCTACCTCCAACTAGGAAGCAATCCGTGGATTGGATTTAGGCAATACACCTCGTCGCGTCGGTCAACACCAGGCAGGCAATCAGTAGGCCTAGAGCAAGATACAAGATCTGTTTATTCGCTATGTAATTTTACAACATACTAGAAATGTGTTGCTGGTAGGTACTGACATAAAGACAACATTGGACAGGGTGCAGGGACAAGACAGGACAAGTGCAAAACAGGACAGTGTACAAAATGCAGGTAAAAGTAGAAGCTAATTTAGGCTAGAATAGTATAGAAGTAAAATAAGATTTAAAAAATTGTGTTTTCAGAGAAATAACATTACGCATTGCAATAACCTATAAACATTTCAAACCTATAAACATTGCGAATCTGTAAACATTGTGAAGAGGCAAGAGAGTTTGGTAATCCTTTATCATCCAGAGTAGTGTTGATGAAAGTATTGAGTGATTGAAACTTTGCTCGCCACAGGATGGCGTCTGTAACGCACATATTAACATAGATACGCTCCTCTGAAATGATTGTCCCCTGCAATTATTATTATCCCTCAATCGAGATCGCTATTCAGCTAACTAACGTTAGCTTAAACAAACGTAACATGCAACGTTAGCCTAATCTAAAATGCTTTACTACGGCGTACCTTTCATGTGGCTCGTCAGCGCAGACTCTCGCATCGTTATTTTTGCAAACTTTGCAGGAGGCTACTCGTGGGCTTGACCCTCGTCTTAGCCATGGCTTGTATTTGTCTTCTGCTAGCCAACGCTCGTTGAAACTGCAACCTCCTGGCACACAGTCATCTATCACTCTCATCAGAATGCCCAGGTCACACGTGACGTAAAACAAACACTTGCAGGTCGCGGGCATAGCGCGGGAAGTCCGCAGCAGAGCTGTTTTATGTAGAAGCGAAGCAATTCTTTTCTTTTAATCTAAAAAGCGAACTATTCAGTCAGACAGCAATTTATTGTAAAAGTAAAGCATTTACATTTTCAAGCACTTTATCTCAATTTCAAGCACCATTTCCAAAATTCAAGCACTTTCCCAACCTTGAAAACACCACGTCAAATGTCAAGCATTTTCAAGGATTTCAAGCACCCGTACGAACCCTGAGTAGTACAGTTAAAACCTTAACGATCCGAATAATCGATTAATCGTTTCATTAATCGATAGATTAATCGATTATCAAATTAGTCGTTTGTTGCAGCCCTAGTGATGACACGTGGTGACACCAATGTGCAATAGGGTCTGTGACGAATTCATTAAGAACATTGTAAGAGCAACTAACGTTACCAACTTTGACACCGATTTAGATTAGGTCTAATTTGATTAGACAATGTCATGAAACCACCAAGCACCTAGCACAAGAAACATTCATTAGCTAGCTAACATCAGCTAACCTACTAGTAAGTTAGTTAGACCATGGCGTCAGAATACAAACTTAGCAGCAATGCTAAGCTAACTAGCTTATACCAATGGCAATTATGCCAGTCTTACCGGTTAAAGTATTCATTGTTCGCTCTTTCATTCGAATACAGCATAAGCCTTCTGCCAACAAATGGAACAGTCAGCAACAGTTGGCTGGCTAGCACCAGAGCCATCTACCATAGCCATATACGGCGCTGGCTAGTACTAGCTAGGCTAACGTTAAGGCCACCTGCTTGAAGGTGGACATGGCTGCTATCAAGCTAATGTTACTAGCTAACGCTAGCTATCTATTCGCTACCATGTACAAACCAAAACGACACTACTCCACTGGCGTTCACAATCGAAAGCACATAATATCCACCACTAATCCACATTATGGGCAGTACTTACTTGCTGCTTAACCGTAACCGCTTTGGAGAAACTCACAGATGTTCACCTTGACTGTTGCCTCCGTGCGAATTTTCGAAAGGATTGAGGCATCTCTGTTAGGAGGCTTTGGGTTCCTCAAAGCGCGATATGATTGGCCGTTCGAGCGATGACGTTCCGTTTCGTCCCTTCAAACGTGACACCTACGGTTAACAGGCAAACCAGTGGACAAATACCCAGAAATGACGTTTTTTCTGGCGTGTATGTCACGTGATCTTCAACTTTCTCAGCCGAATAAAATAAATATAAATATATCAGCAATTAAACAACATATTCCATTTCTTTTCACACAATACGTCTCCTTTCAGTATCAACACTAATTCGGCTGACTTATATATTTGATCCAATTGGTAAATAGGGACACCTAGTGGTTAAAGCACGTTATTGAAATGTTTTGTTGAATAATCTTTCATCTTTAATAACCTGACTTTGGAAAGGGCTGGAAAGATACTTTTTTCACCAGGGGCCTCTAAATAGGGCCCAGATAAGAAATATGAAATATGGGAACCCTAACTCACCCAGAATTTTTTTTTCAATCTAATGTCAAACTCTCACAAAATCCTGTCTAGAGCTAAGGATTGGACACCCTTTGGTGAGGGAGGGAGAGAAAATTGAAAAAAGGTGCTTGGCACTTCGAGACTTTGAGAGTGTGTTGCTTCACTTGTGTGGAACCCGCTTGCAAACTAAGGTTAAAGGTCATGTTTTCATGGCTCTCAGTACTCTAGACGGCACAAAGGAAGGTCCGACAGCTTTGAGCTTGGTGTCGTTGGAATCGCCTCGAAGAGTACATGCAGATTCATCCCTCTGCTGCTCCGAATGTCAAACGTTACGGCTTAAAACGGGACAAAGCCTTCCATTATGCCGCTTTCACTCTCGCTCTTGTGGTGACAGAGCACGCCAATTTCCCCGCATGCTAGGCAGACAAGAGTATTCTAGTTAGCTTTGGTTTGATGTGGATATGTGATTTGATGTGTCGTTTGTCCCCCAACTCCTCTCCAAAGTTGAGATATGTAATAAAATACTCAGGGGAGTTTCCTGAATTTTCATGCCGAAAGCCAAGCACTAGGCCCTGGGTAAATTAAGACGCTGATTTGGGGCACTTTTTCCACTTTCCCTGGTGCTAGAAACTCAAGTCAGGCATCCCTGGAATCGTTGTAAAAATACATTTCTAGCTAAACGTAATTGAGAATGCAGTTTAGTTCTGTGGGAACGTAATTTTTAGGAGACAGGGTTGCCAGGACACACGCCGATTAGAATAGTCTATTCTGCACATGTGCAATAGTGCACAATTCAAATGTTACAGTAATGAGTTGTGCTCTTTATATACAGTCTATCATGGTTGTGCTAAGATGATTTTGAGTACAGTGCGTTACTGTGAAATAATAGTTAAATAATGTGAAATCCAATTCTACTGTTTTATAGATATTTTGTTGTGATATTACAGGGGCTTTTGATTACAATATTTCTCTGTAATATGATACTCTTAAATGCTGTGAAATCCTTGCAATTTTTACAATGTTGTTGTGATATTACAACATTTGATGTGATATTACAGAGAATTTTGATTGCAGTGTTTTATTGTGAAATAATAGTTAAATGCTGTGAAATCCAAGGATACAGTCCTTTTTACATGAATTTGTTGGGATATTACAGGGGGCCTTGATTACAATATGTCACTGTAAAATAATACTGTTAAATGTTGTGAAATGCTGGTAATTGTTTACAGTGTACATACCTTTCCTGAAGTTCCTAATCAGGGTTGCCTGCTGTTGTCTCTGTGTTCTCTGTTCGCTGTGTTCTCTGTTCGCTGTGTTCTCTGTTAGCTGTGTTCGTTGCTGCTGTGCTGGAGCGGTTGTGCCGGCTGCTTCTGCTACGTCTGTGCGTAAAACAGCCGCTGCTGGCATTATTCATACTACGCAGGATCCTATCTCTGGAACCCATTGGTCGATTTGGGTGATTGACACCTTTTTTGAAACTTTGGAGCCAATAGAATCGAGAGGGAGTTAGTAAATCCCGCTTTACACTTACGTCAAGGAGAGAGAGGCTTGCGTAAACAGCACGTGAGAAAGCCTAAGCCCCAGACTGCAAAACTTTATACCTACTCTGCGGCCATGAATGTAATGATGGATTATCAGGAACAATTCTAAAGTGACTAAGAGACATTGGATTAACCTTGAGAAGCGTTTTTATTCCCTTGAACACGACTTTTGATCACAAAACAGCAACGGTAAGACATAATTATTTTTATGGTTTAGAACACTGTTGTTGTTTTCTTGCACTGTTCTGGCTGCTAGCTCAGTGAGTTTGTGTCCTACAGTGATGATACTTATATCAAAATAATCTGTGGAGTATCATCTTTCAGTGTGCAGAACATATTAAGTTTTAAAGATCGTTTTTGCTAGTTAGCACCGGAAGTAGAATTAGCCTGTTTTCACTAAGGGCTAATGCTAACGCTTCTTGTGAGACTTGTGTTTTGTTTCGGTAAAAATGGCTCATATCGTCAGGTAGCGGAGTTTTTTTCCCGTTATTTGAGTATAAGACATTCATAGGTTTTTAAATATTAAGAAGCCCTCAGACGCTGTCTCCTGCAGTGACGTGTTTTTCCCCCGGTATCGGGGGGGCCGGGCTTAAGAGGTTAAACATTTCATAACCAAATGGTTGGGTAGACAAAAATATTTTTACCCAGCACTTGGGTTGAACAAAAATAACCCAATACCATATTAATAACTCAGAATGGGTTAAACATTTCATAACCCATGATTGGGTAGATGAAATAACCCACTGTTTTTTAGAGTGTGGGCTTTCGCTCACACTCATAAAATTGCTCATTTTTATTCTCACTGTCAGAACTGTACTCACTCTCTACATCACTGTCAATGGTTAATCCCTTGATAAAAAATAAATAATCACTAACTCATGGTGGGGGTGCACCTGGTCTACCCCTGGCTCCGCCTCTGCCAAGGTGTTCCAAATTCCACTCAGTCGTGGAGATATAAAGAGAAGCTGCAGGAGAAGGATGTCTCTCCTATCCTAATGCCGAGAGACACTCTCCTTAAGATATCTCTTTGCTATTTTGAGCAGTAGGCCATATTTTTGCTGATGTGTTTATGTTTAGCCTGGAGGACCTGGTAGTCCAGTTTTCGCGGCTTTATTTTGTTTCCCATAGGGTTTATATTTTATTTCTGGTTGGGGGGGGAGCTCTGGGTCCTACGGCCCGTGGTGTGGCTGGCTCGGGTTCCCTCCTTCTGTTTGTTCCTTTTGGCCAGTCCTCCAGACCTCTTTTTGTTTCCCGTTTCCAGACCCCCCTGAGCCTCACTCGGGGGGTCTGGATATTCCGGAGTTGGTGAGAAGGACCCCGAGTTATTCTCAGAGGGTGAGTGGAGGGGGGTCCTGACTCGCTGACAGGGCTGGAATCAGAGCTTGGGCTTTCGCTCACACTCATAAAATTGCTCATTTTCATTCTCACTGTCAGAACTGTACTCACTCTCTACATCACTGTCAATGGTTAATCCCTCACCTGACCGGGATGGAGAGTCCCTCCTTCCCTTCAACAACATATAGTCCCTGCCGTGCTGTGTGTTGTTGCATACTGCATCAGGGGGTAGTCTGGTGGAGGGAGGACTGCTGGCTGGTGTGGGGCTGGAGGCAAGTCAGCAGAGGAAACAGAAGTGGTCTTGGAGAGCATCACTGGCTGATTGGTTGCACGCAGGTTGAGGAGGCATTCTTGAGCACAGATGAAGTCACGCACCGTCTTAATTGTAATCTTTGGCAGAGGAAAGCGTGCTTTACACAGGACTGGATCGTCCACCAAAACCCGGTGCTGAATTTGCTCGTAAGCCTTTAAGATGGTTGTCTTCTCTGGGCTTGTGCGAGAACGCTGTGGTGACTTCAACCACAGCAGTTTCACCAGCGTGTACATTAGCCTGTTGTTCATTGCACTAATGTCTAAGCTCCTGTCTAAGCTCCTGTCGCAGTTCCAGCGTGCGATGCCACTTATCAGGTAAACCTGATATGGCCGTGCTGCACAATGGGGACCTGAGGAGGGTAGAGTAACGGAAAGCTTTAATTGTTGTGTAAATGTTAGTGTTTTATTGTTTATACCAAATCCATCATTAGATGCAACAAAAAAGAAAAGAGATGGGCAGGCAACCTGTGACATCTACAGATCAGTCGGTTTTCCAAATTGTTTAAAAAAAGAAGGATCTTCTCGCCCTTCACATTTCTTTGCTGCTCTCTTGTAATGAGGACCCTTTTTTAAAAAGCTTGGATATTTTTGTTATTACTGAGCTTGGGAAATGCTTATCTGCAACCTGGAATAACATGTAGAACAATTTTGAAGTGTTGAAAAATCGTTTGAAGTTTGGGCTCGTCCATCCCCTTTCGCTTTTATAGCGTGGACCTTGCCCAGGATGAGGGAATGCACTCTAGATTAGGGGGGGGACAGACACATCGACAGACGGTAATGGCATTGAGGAGGGGCCAGCAATGGCTGGGGTTGGCTGACTGGCAGGCAGGATGGGGCCAGGGAAAAGGAAGGGCACAGGTCTGGCAGCAGGCAGTATGGGACGTCCAGGCACGATGGGCAGTATGGGACGTCCAGCAATGGCCCGGGTTGCTGTTGATTTAGAGGGGAGGGAAAAGGTTTGGTGGCTGGTGTCGGTGGCAATGGCCGTGGCAGTGACAGGTGGCAGCAGCAGCGATGTCTGAGGGTGTGATAGAGGCGCGATCGTGTCCCTCCTTCCCTTCAACAATT